CTGTCGCTCGCCGCTGCCCGGCTACGTGGAAGTGTGTAACGAGAGTCCAAACGGGCACTTCCCCTCCCCCCCCCGGTCCTGCCTCCGGCTGGCGCTTGGAAACGCTTCAGCCTGCCGCCGGCAGCCTCTGCCTCGTTTCCTCAGCTGGAGATTCCCGGGAGGTCTCTCGTGTTTCCAAAGTTCTTGGCAATATTTGTCTGCGGCCTTTCGTTAGCAGCTCGCAGTTGTTAGCTGGCTTCGGACAGCACCGTAGGCAGGAAAGAGCTGCAATCTTACAGTTGGTTTTAAAGGATGTTTCCGTGCTGTCTTCCTAGGGACCAGCTGCCTAATCTTTAAAATCGTTAAAGTCTGTTCCTTTTTCCCCGAGGTGTTCAGTCTCTGTCCTCATGGAAACTGACTGCTACTTGTGTTTTGTTGTTGTTTGTTTGTTTGTTTTTTAGCAACAGTTGATGTGGTTGCTCTTTACTAATGCTTTACTGAATATTCTGAGTTCCTCACCTGTTATTAAGGCTTGATGTATTTATCTGGTATAGTTTTTAAGTGCAGTGGAATTCCAGAAAAAATTTCAGTTCACTTGCTGTTGATTTGTGTTTTATTGCCACACAGATAAAACTGAAGACCTAAAGGTCCCAGTGTATTGTGGAAGTGCCTACAGCTGCACTTAATGTACTTTTGTCTGTACCCCTTTCTGTATGTTTTAATTTTTTTGGATAGTATTAAGTTATTAACCGTCATTAATGTTACCTGTTTCTAGATGTGCCAAGCACACTATTTCGGTTTGCTATTTATTTACTGTTAGCCTAGATACTTTTTTATTTCTGACATACATACATACATACATATCTGCTGTGAGGTGTTGTGGCTGATCTAGTTACCAATAGTGCTTTGGCCTTTGTTATGAATTAAGGGCAGATGCATCTGTCTATTGTTTGTTAGCGCTGTTAGGAGCAAATGGACTAGAGTTGCTGGATTCTCTTAAATAAAGATACAATGTCAAGAGTTGAATCACTGAACGTGTCATCTTGATAAGGATTGTACTGCTGTTGCTTTGACGGCGGAAGTCATAGAAAGTCTGGAGACAACCTCTAAAAGTCATCTGTCCAGGGATAGCAAGTGATGACACAGAGG